AATACTATTTTTGGGTTGAATTAAGAACTGTTTTGGAAAAGTTTTGAGCATTGTTTTAGGCTACATTTGCTCAACGTTTTGGGTCTTATGTAATTTCTGTTTGGAAAGGTTTGGAGCACTATTTTGGGCTTAATTTGCTGCATTTTGGGGCTTTTAAAAACACGTCTTTTGGGCTGAGTTGGCTGCAGTTTGGAGCTTTTTAAAAATGGTTTCGTGGGCTGATTCAGACTGTAGTTTTGCCCTGTTTAGGAGGGGTTTTGTTGGCTGTTTTTAGGATGTTTTGGCACTAATCCGGGTTGCAGTTTTGCCCTGTTTTAGTGATATGTTTGGGTTGCATCTTGAGACCCTCTTTAGTGGTGTTGGGCTGCACTTGAAGCTCTCTTTAGTGATGGTTGGGCTGCACTTTGAAGCTCTCTTTAGTGATGTTCAGACCACATTTTGAAGCTTTATTCATTTTGAAACTTTATTTGTTAAGGTTTAAGTTGCATTTTGTAGCTTTATTCTTTAAGGCTTAAGTTGCATTTTGAGGTTTTTTTTGTTAATGTTTAAGTTGCATTTTAAAGCTTTATTTGTTAACGTTTAAGTTGCATTTTGAGGCTTTATTCATTAAGGTTTAAGTTGCATCTAATACATTTTGGGAGATCTACATACATACCATGCAATTCTTATGTGTTTACATCTCCAATACATAGCTAATATCTATGGTTCAATATTTTGACATAGAATACCGTGACAACATTTACTCAACTATAAAAAAGAGGTGTATTGCATTTGCTAGAATATAATATGGTGGCATTTATGAAACAATGTGAAAGATTTTTGGTGGTGTGAATTTAACATTCGAGTTTAGGGATTAGAGGTGCCGACACATAAGAATTGCAGGCTATGTATGCAGTCGTTGCATTGACAAAATTCCTTTGTTGTTTGCTTAGAATGTGGGTTGGAAAGGGGTACTTTTGGATGATATGTTTGCTATTTGGAGGGGTTTTGGGGCTGTCCTTGCTCGACTTCCTCATTGATTTGGGCACTGTTTTGGGATATTTCGGTGGGTTGATTTGAAGTAGCCGATAAATGATTTCAAGGTTTTCTAGTGTGTTCTTTTGGATTCTTAAAAAAAAAATTTTTTGAGGGCCGTTATTTGCTCTTTCAGGTGGATTTGTCCCTCCTCTCTTTCACCCTCTTTTTCTTCCTTTTTTTCTTGCTTCTTGATTTAGTTTAGGTGCTTATGTCTGAAGCATAAACACACATATATAACCATCACTATATATGAACCATCAAGTAAGGCTGTAAGTAGGACGGTTTCAGGTTTAAGGACAATGATAAAAATTGCATCTAGGTATGTGTGAGAAGTTCTAACATAATCCTGACTCAATAACTTTGTGAGAATGAGAGATTGGAATTACTGCCTCTTTAATACTTAGTAAAGAGTTAACCCTTGCTTTTACAAAAAGTTGGAAGTTCCAGCCTGACAATATGACTGACTCTTTCATTTTCTAAGGTATGAAAATTTCTTTTAATAAAAATATATATATTCATAATTAGATTAAAAAAATTCTTTTAAGTGTATTACAAATTAAAATCTCTTCTTTTAAGTTCATGACAAATTAAAAATCTTTTCCGAAAAAAGAAATCTTTCATAAATATTTTATAAAAAATTCACGAGTCAGTCATATGAATCAGGTTAAGAATTGTCATTTTCTGTGATTGTTAGACCGGAAACCTTTTACTTAGTGTTGGATTATACATACATGACGTTGACTATTTTATTAGGGCCCCGGGATCTTGATTTTGACCCAAGGTCTTGATTCTGAGTCCACCTCGTCCCGAATGCTTATGGTTTTCTTCGGTGTTCCGTGCATTTCCTATGATTTTCTTTGAGTTTTCGTGGGTCATTCCCAGTTTTTTTCTCAAGTCTTTCATGAGATGTATTCCCACTTGTCCTTTTGTATATAAACGTTTGTTTTCCCTGCTAGTTAAACTCCCCACTATACTTGTTTACTTCTACCTGCAACGCTAATCTCATTCACAGGAGTAGCAGACCCGCCCGGTACACAGGTTTATTTTATATTTACAGCATTTTATTTTCTTTACTGTAAATTCTACTGATCTTCTTTACTGTACATTTATAATATTTCTTTTATTGTTGATTTTCTTTACTGTACCATGCTACTGTTTCCTTTATACATATTATACCTTTTAAAATAGGAGGACAATAGTCTGGTTTTATAGGAGGTGCCTAGCAGCAGACCATTGTGCCTACAATTACATGTACATTTAAACTTAATATTAAACTTAAAACTGTTACGACATGGAGATTGGAGCTAACACCGCGGTCATCATAACGTGATGTACAGAAGAACAACTTCGAGAGAGCAAACAAATCTACAATAACAAACCTTTTCTTAGATTAAATAAGTCATAGGACTTCGAGGTGGTCCGCCTAGTGCGACATAAATCCTCACTTTATCGTTTAGGCCTTTGCACAACAATGTTGTGTAATTTAAACCCTAACTCGCTTTAGGCTCCGAGGTTATCATCTGAAACGACGTAAATCCTTCTATCTTCCAGGCCATTTGTATGACCGTGTCACACAAATATAAGTTCTAAATAATAAAACCGACAGGACAAAACATCAAGTAACATCTTCTCAAAATTGAAACCAAACAATAAGATAGTTTGGGAAGTCACCGAGATTTATCTCAGGATCCGTGACATCCCTTACTTTTCGTTCCTTTGATTCCAGAAATAAATGTTCCCATTTGGTCCTTTTTCCCACTTGACTTTTCTATGTTAAACCTTGGAAACCCTAAACTTTGAATTCATGAAGATAGTTACCTCTGATCATTATTGAGAGTTTTTTTAAGTGACTTAAGCCATTTGAGGGCTAATTAACTATAGGGGCTTGCCCCTATAGGGAGCTTTAAGAACCCAGGTAATATAAACTCTATATAATTTTTAATATTAGGTAGGGGAACTTGTCGGTCAAAATAAATAGTTCGCAGATCAGACAGATGTCATAAATTCTGTAGTTTATTTAATCAGGTCCCACTATCAAGTAATGTGCATATTACTCGGGATAGGTGTGTTACTTGCGACATTGTGTTTGATTACTTAAACTATTAAATGAATGAGATCCATCCAGTCTCACTTTTCAAAAATAAAAATATTATATATATATATATACATACATACATACATTAAATTTAAATCAAAACTACATTTTATTTTATTTTTTCAAAAGGAAGAATTTGTTGCCCCGCTTTCGCCCGACATCGCTTTGGCTTTCCCCGCAGCCACTGGTCCAACACTACCTTTCCGGACTCCTTCCTCGTGGGGCTTGTCTTTTCTTTATTTGCCGGGTCTTTTGTTTGTAATGCTCTATTTTATGTTTTTATTTATGCGGCCTCTTTTCTTTTTTAAATGATTAAGAAATTCCTATTTTGCGTCATGATTTGGGTTAACTATGGTTTCACGTATATTCTCTAGTGGCTCAAAACTCTTGAGTTGTAAATTGTATGATACACTTAATAGGGTAAAATGCCATTTATTGTCTAAGTTTACTTGTTTTCTTCGACGAATATTCACTGCATGTCTATAAGTGTCCGCTAAACTACTCAATCTATGATTGTTAGTAAGAATCATTTTGTCAGATTTGATCAACATTTCCTTTAACTAAGTAAAATGGAGTAAGATCACTCGAGGCAATGGAACTATAATGTCTTCATTTTAATAATCATTCTTCTTACTGTACGCTCTAAGCCAAATGTGGTAAATTTTTTAATCCAAAATCAATATTGCTACCATTATACTCTTAACACTTGGCATCTAACAACTAGCCTGAATGATCACAAGAGCTTAGACATCTGAATTTTGAAACTAGATTTTAAAGTCCTTATAAAAAATGAAGCAAAATTTGTGGGTCATTTCTTGCCTAAAAAAAGTCAAATTTTTGTTCTAAAAACTTGACTCAAAATAGGTCAAAACCCTTTTAACAGAGTCAAACATGAATTTTTGAAACACACATATTGGATTTCAATACTTCATTACTTTCTTGAAAAGGTTGTATTTGTGGATGAAAATATAGAAAATTCTAGTAATTTTTTTTAAATTGAATTTGATCACTTGGTTTTCCATCTGTTAAATACTAATAAATGATTTTATGGACTTCTTTGGCTCAACCATCTTCTCGGCTTTATATTATTTATTACTTTCTGAATAGTCACAAATTATCTTGAAGCTACCCCTTGATTGCTTCATATTGTTTCATTGTTGTGGTTCATAGTTGCGCATCTTCTTAGCTTTATTGCGTGTTTTGGTTTAGAATAAGATAGCTTACTTTTTTTCATTAAATTTAGTTTATTTAAAGTTATCGTGAAAATAAAATTAGCAAGGTTGTTAAAGTGAAACCAGAAGGTGAATGACAGGTTCAAGCAACAGTTCAATCGGAGTTGAATAGCAGTTTATGCTGGATAATGTAATAAATATTATTTTGATATGATTTACTTCATGTAATAACAATGCAATAATAATATTCTCACCAATTTAATATAGAACATTTTGATGTTGGACATTTTACTTTGGAATATTTTTAAAATGATTTAAATCAAATTTTGGGTCATGTTATTTCTATTATTTTTTTATTTTTAGTCATCCGATCAAAACTAAACAGCAACACATGTATCAGTTTTAGGAAAAGCAGGTTCATCAAAAATTTATTGGCTTCACTGTTTCAATCAGCTGTTCTAGCGAGTTCTATATTGAAGCGTTTTAAGAACTAGACCAAACAGGCTGAAGGACCAATTACGGGTGAATCAGTCAAACCAGCTAGTTCGTTCTAATTTTTAAAACCATGAGAATTAGACCTTAGTGGTATTTATTGATTGTCATTATCTTTTTTGTTGAAGCTGCATTATATATATTTATATATATTTTCTTCATTATGTCACATAATAGTATGCCTGGTGCATTAGCCCCCTGATTTTACAATTTCTTGTCTTCAGGTGATGGGTGTGATAGATATCCAGCGTTTTAAAGAAAAAGGCTACGAGACATTAGTTAAAGAGGGGATTTGTGATGAGGTTAGCAATATTAATTTATTTTTGATACTTCAAGTTGATCCTTTATTCCATCTTGTATCATTTTCTCATAGAATTTCTTCATGCAAGCTCTGATCATCATAGGGTTAATTTGTAAAACAAATCTTTGAAATTGACTTTGATCATCCATCTTGAGGCCACACGAATGTGCATCTAGAAAATATATGCTTTTAATAAGAAGGGCATGATTAAAAGTTTCATTATTCTTGTCTATGCCTAAGTTAATTTCCTCTTATTAATATATTACAATTTAATTCCATCACATGCTATTTCATATCCTTTTACGGAGTACAGTAATTGCAACCAAGATAAATCGATTGAATAATATTAAGCATCATTATTGTATTGTACATGCTTTCATCTTTTCAAAGGAAGTGCATCTGTTCATCATCAGCCAAATACAAGAGATATCAGTTGCTTTGAGGGTCGTACCCCATTGGTGAAGCCTCTGATTGTTAGCTTTTTGAACTCCGGAGATTCTATTTGTTTCGTGAATCCAAAACAGGCGTTTCTGTAAATACTAAATCAAAAACGATAAAAATAAATGTAGATAGTGGCGATGCTGATCAGATGACTGCATAGACGCATTTTATGCTTAGAGTAAATCATAAGAGGAGCTGAGTGGCTAGAGAGCTCACTGCTAGCAGCGACCTTGCATTGGTGCTTGTGAGAAGTGATGTTGGCAGTCAGACTGAGATGGGAAATTTCCACTTATCTCAAGAAAATACTAGGTGAGCCAAGAAGCCTATACTAATGGTGTGAGTCAAGCCAAGTCCGCAATAAGAGGCAACAAAAATGTAGGCTAAGAAAATTCCTTGCTATTAGTGGGCTGCAGGAGGGGTTTAGTGACCTGAAGGGATGCTAAGGAGCTTATTTTGATAGTTTAAAGATATGGGTTACAAATCTTAGACCTCGTTCTGAAGAGTTGTGATTACTAGTTTTATTAAGATTTTTACCCAAACATATAAATGTTATTATTATAATTTAATACTAACAATTTAATCATGGCTCTTTGATTCTGTTCCTATTCATTGGCTTGATGATTTGACTATACAACTACTGTTGTATTAAGTTGTCAACTAAAACATGTTACCTTGATTGAATCTATGCCAATCAAAGATTTTCAGTTTAGTGTCTAATTCAACGTTCCTATGTTAAAATCTTTGTTTGTTTTGTCTGATATTTTCATACAAATTTGATACTGGGATGGGATTAGATTCATATTTAATATGTTTTCTTCAACCTTTTATTTGATGATAATGTCCCTGAATTGCACTCTTAACAAATGAGCAATCTCTTCAATAGTTGGATGAGCTAAGGTTGGTATATGAGCAACTGCCAGAATTTCTTGATCAGGTAGTTTGATAAACTCTGTATTTGGAAAGTATGTATTTTGATTGATGGTTTTCTTATTTATTAAAAATGGATATTCTTTGAAGGTGTCATCAACTGAAATTGGTTCTCTTTCGGTTATGAATTATGGCGATAGAGCTCCTCAAATTGTTTATATTCATCAAATAGGTTTGTTTGTCTTTTAAATATGAGTAGATCTCCTTCCCCTTCACCCTCTATTTATTTGAAAACCGCTTTCTTTGCTATGTCAAATAATAAACTGAAATCTAGTTAGTGATGATGCTTATGATCGAATCTGTTTTATGTATAGAGAGAATTGTTCAAAATTTACTTTGTACATTCATAACGTGGGTTTAAATATGGTAGTGCAATGTTTTACAAATAAACCCCTAGACTTCTTCAATGTTCTATTTTTACTAAGGGGACCCTAAATAATGTCCAAGTTTCAACACTCCCTCTCAAGATCGGCAAAAGATATCCACTAAGTCACATAACCTAGACAAATCTAATGAACCAAGTCCTTTAGTGAGACAGTCAATCACTTGTTCTCTAATGGCCTCATGACTTAGCTCCAGTTGCTTGTTATTCAGCTTTTCCTTGATGAATAATCTATCAATTTCCAGATGTTTGGTTTTATTGTTTTGCACCGGGTTGTTGGCAATACTGATTGCTGACTTGTTGTCGCACCACAACTTTATTTGAGTTCCTGGGTCCACCTTGAGCTCGACCAACAAGGCTCTCAACCACATCATCTCAGCAACTCTTATGGCCATGGGTATGTACTCTGCCTCTATTGTTGACCTCGCTACTGCAGACTGTTTCTTGCTCTTTCAAGAGACCAAGTTGCCCCCTGCAAACATGCAGCATCTTGAGGTGGATCTTCTATTATCTACACAACTCGCTCGGTCAACATCACAACAGTCCTCAATGTCTACATGCCCATTCTTCCAGATGGTCAACCCCTTCTATGGTGCATTCTTCAGGCATCACAAAATCTGATACACTGTATCCATAAGACTCTTGGATCATGCATGTAGCGGCTCACCACACTACCTGCAAAAGAGATGTCGGGTTGAATGTGACATAGGTAGATCAAATGGCCCACCAATCTTTGATACCTCTCACGATCAACCGACTCTCCTTCCTTTGCACTTAACTTGACATTTTGATCAATAAGAGAGACTGCAAGCATGCATGTTTCTGTGAGGAGATCTAATATATATTTTCCTTGAGAAAAAATTATCCCCTCAAGTCCACAGGTCACTTAAATCCCAAAAAAGTATCTGAGTTGTTCAAGATCTTTCACCTCAAATTCACACCTCAAATTCATTGTCAATCTTACCTTTAGTTGGGCAATCTCTGCCTCATCATCACTGATGACAATGATGCTATCAACATGTACAACAAGTATAATGGTGTGACTTTCATGTTGTCGAAAGAACACAGTATGGTTAGTATTTATCTATTGATATCTTATGCCCACCATAACCTTTCTAAACTTTGTCAAACCAAACTCGAGGAGATTGCTTCAAGCCATACAACGACTTCTAGAGCCTACACACCTTGTCGACTGTCTTGACTGTATTGATTATTGGTGGTATCTCCATATATACCTCCTCCAGGAAATGCATTTTTCACATCAAGTTGGTACAACATCCACCAACTATTTACTACCAGTGAAACAAGTATCCTCGTTGTGCTCATCTTTGCTACTGATACAAAGATTTTATTATTATCAATGTCATATGTCTGACTATACCTTTTAGTTGACAGTTGTGTTTTGTACCGCTCCACCTTTACTTCTGGAGTTTGCTTCACTGTGAAGATCCAATTACACCCAACTGCCTTTTTTCCCGCTAGTAGTGGCATTATCTCCTATGTTCGATTTTTGTCCAAAACCATAAGCTCTTCATGCATAGTCGCTTTTCACTTGAAATCCTTCTTAGCAACCTGCCAACACTTTGGTATAGAGACAATGCCCAAAGATGCAATAAACACTCCATATAAAGGTGATATGTTATAATATGAAACAAAGTTAGCAATGTCATATTCCCACCCAAAACGATGTAGAGGGTGTACCACATTGCTGCGAGAGGTCCTCAAAGTTGGAGGGTTAGAAGGCGAGGATGAATCATATCGCCTGGGAGTTCTATGTTGGAGGTGGATGGTATATGTTTCTCAAGAGTCGTGGAAAACTGAAATAAAGGACTAGTTGGCACAAGTGGCATTGTACATATCGTTCCCACATTTTGCTTCTTTCTCGTGTATAGACCCTTAGCTCACCTTCAGCCTGAATCCCACCACCTCTGGGTTCACTCTTGTCATTTTTTTGGTTCCTCACCCCCCTTTCCTCATATCTCCAGTATCTTGCAAGTCATTGAAGAGTGAGAACACCTTTTGGGTATAGTATGATTTAAATTCTTTAAATGACACATTCATGCTCACAAAAAGTCTATTTTCTATCAAGCTCCACCATACATCTCTTCTGAGTAGTTGAATAACTAACGAATACACATTTCATAGCTCTGGGATCCAGCTTTCTTATTGATGACCTGCTACCCTTCACAAAATAAATACATCCAAACACCTTTAATGGGTGGATTCCTTTATTATCTCCTTTCAACATCTGACATGAAGACTTCTAATCTACACCCTCCATGGCATCCTGTTGATCAATTGAGCAACTGTCAAAAATGTTTGCCCCTATAGTTGCTTTGGGTTATTCATTGCGATCATCATGTTTTGGTCAAACTCTAGATCGTGTCTATTTTTTCTCTCTATTGCTCTATTTTGTGTCGGCGTGTATAACATGTAGTTTGATGTTGTATCCTTTGGGCTGACAAGTATTCCCCAAATATTTTTTTGGTATACTCTATCCCGTTATCAGACTTTAATGTCTTCACTATAACGCCATGTTGAGTTTGAATTGCATTGTGGAATTTTTAAAACAAGAAAACACACTACTTTTATTTTTCATCAAATATAACCAAGTAACACGAGAAAAACAATCAATAGAGGTCACAAAAATTATCGATAACCGTTCATAAAGTTTGTAGAATAAGGTCCCCAAATATCATAATAAATCAAGTCAAAAACACTAGAAATCCTATTCTTAGAATTGATATAAGAGCTCCTAGTAAGCTTCCAAACTCACAGGCATCACAAATAAACTTTTGTTTATTTTCCTTTTCATCAAAGTAGGATACAACTGATCCAATAAACTAAAACAAGAGTGTCACATGTGTCTATGATGTAGCAACAACATATCCTCCACACTCCTAGATTCCTCTACTCCATCACTCTTTATCATGGATGTCAAAGCTAAGTCCCCTTCCAGTCCAAGTACCAGAGTCTACTATGCCACGTTCTAGTCCCAAGTATCCTACTCGTCCCTTTCTATTGGAAGATCACTTTAGGAATGCCAAAACTAAAAACACATTTTAGTTGGAGATTAATGACACTAATGGATAAAATGTTCACCAGAGAAGAAGGAACATGCAAAATATTGGACAAAGTCATATAATTGACATTTCTCATTGATCCTTACTAACTACAGGTTGTGTTGTACCATCAGTAGTCTGGATATTCTCTAGTATTGTCTTGGGAGTATAGGAAGAAACCTTTCTAGCAGTACTTGCCACATGTCGAGATGCACCAAAATCTACTATCCATTCTTATGATTCTGTGGTGGAAATAGAGAATGACATTTGTATCACAAGTATCTTTGTCAGAGTAAGCATAAATGACAATGTTACTTTTTAATAAAAACTGGTTGGAAGTATCTCAATCCCATCTCCTGTTGTTTTATGCTTCCTCTTCAACAACTACAAACACTCATGATCCTTATTGGTAAAAACTACACCTGTCTCCCTTCCTCTGTTACCACCAGATTTGCTCGGTAGTCCCCCTTTTCCTCCTTTTTGACCACCACGGCCACAACCACTGTCTACACCCAGTCCACATCCACCTACCTCTCTCTCCTTAGGTGACTTACGGTAGGTATTGTTTCGATGCCCAACTTCACCACAGTTTTAGCACTTGTGAGTCTCCCTTTGGATATCTATCATATCTGAGCTCAAGATTGTGAAAGTTGATTGTGTACCTGGAAGTCCACTCGGCCCAGAGTGTGGCTTCATGTGTATTATTATAACAATGACCTCATCTAGTGAAGGGATAGTGGCTTGAGCTAGGACAAATTTCCTCTCATCAAATGTCGGATTCACATGAGCCATAAATTGCATAGACTTCATCTGAGTAAAGATCTCCCCTATTTGGCACTTCGGATCGTCACAAGTCGACATCGGTGAGAATTGATCAAGATTTTCCTACAACCAGTCTAGCTCTATGTAGTAATCCTGAATTGATCTATCATCCCAAATCGCTGTCTTTATCTCAAGCTGAATTTTAAACAACCTCATATGGTTCTTCTTTCCAGCATAGATCTTCTTCAACTTCATCTAAATGTCGCTCACCTTTCAAATGTTATCTATTGACGAGGCAATTAATGGAACCATCGAGTTGAATAACCAGATTTAAAGTAAGGCATGTGTGGTCGTCCACACATCTTTCTCTGCATTATTACTCTTTGATTCGACCCCTATCAGATATCCTTCTAATCTCTATCCTACTAGAGCATTCTCAAACCGGCGTGACCAACTCAGATACGTGGCCGGTTCATTAAGTTTAAGATTCACAAGAGCGAGATCTAGTTTCACTGTGCTGGAGCACGTGCTGAGGTAGTGGCTCTCGTCGAGATCCTAGCTCACTGTATGAGACCTACCAAGACCTTCAGAATTTCAGGATCTATCTTCCTCAAAAGTTCCGAAATTTTACCTCCGGCAATATCTCCGTCTCCTGACATCCTTAATTTAACTATTCCTTGGCCTTCATCATCCTCTCATGCACGTAGAGTCAAAGTTCTCTCATGCTCTGGTTTCATGCGTGCTTCACCTTTGCCTGGCACCGAGCCGCTCGAAACATTATGCCATGATCCAACAGCCGAAGATCTCGTCAATTCGGTCTTAGGGTATTGATGTCATTGCGCCTGTTCCACGCCTGTGCCGCGAGCGTTCGTTGTGATCCCCTCGTCGTCCCAGTTCACTCTAATCGTGTCTGTATCGCAAGCGTCCGTCACGATCCCCTCGTTGCCGTCCCAGTTAGCTCTAATCACGATTGTATTCAATGTCTCACGCTGATCTCGACGATCCAACAACACTAAAAACGGCCTTTAGGGTTAGGTCTCTGATGCCATAAAGAAAGAATTGTTCAAAATCTGCTTTGTACATTTATTACATAGGTTTAATAGGGTATTACAATATTTTACAAATAAGCCCCTAGACTTCTTTCATATTCCCTTTTTACCAATAAGACCCTAAATAAGGTCCAATTCTCAACAATGTATCATGCCTTTTACACGAAGGTCACACATATTTTGTGGCTTTATTATTCAAATTATTTCGTGTGTAACAATCTACTTGTACTTAGGAAAAGCTTGGATTTGTTATGTTGTTAAAAAGAAAACGTTATAGAATTTAAAGCTTGTAATCTTGTTTTAATTATCCTGTGTTATATAAGCCCTCCTTAAATCTTTAGAGGGGATATTACTATTTATATTTATCAATGATTGTATGCATATTTTTCCAATTCCGTTTCTAGTGACTGAATCCATTTCCAGGATATTTATGGTGCATTTTTGCTGAAAAGCTTGATGAAGAAACATTAGAAAAAAACGATTTTGAGTATGTGGTATGGGCCTACTTGATCTTTTTGTTTTTCAAGAAGTCATGCATACCATATAATGTGAACTTTTCAGTTTTCTGAAGATGGTGAGGAAAAAATGTTCTTTTATCGTACTGCCAAGACAAGAGAATTGGACAACCTTCTTGGTGATATCTATCATAAAATTCTTGGTAAGCTGATTTTCTTCTTTTAACTTTCCAGTCTAAAATAGTAAGTTTTCAGGCAAGAGAAAGGAGCACTGGGGGCCACTACCATTTTAAGTATAAAACTATAAGTGAACTTGTCTACTCAATGTACAACCAAGTACTCATTCATTTTAGGCCATTTTATGTTTGTGTATCTAGATATTTAAACAAGCTTGAACATTAACTTGCTTGTTCATTTATCTTTGTAAACATTCTCATATATTTTTCAGTTAATATCTCAATAAAGTGCTTCTTTAATGACGACTTAATTATTTTGTTAACTTATTTTATATTATTATACCAATTTTATTATATTCTATGCCCATCAAAAGCTATTTATATGACTGAGTTTAAATATAATGAAAAAATTGAGCAAAATAGATTAGAAATATCTTTTTTTTTCTTTTAACATTTGATTATAAATTATTTAGTAAATTTTTAATAGATAGATTAAATATCAATTTTTTTATTATTACTATTTTGTAATAAAAATATTGAACTAATAAATTAATCAAATTCTATTTCTGTTATTCATAAAATAATAAAAATAATGTCAAATGAATTATTGTTAATTTTGACAAATAAAATAAAAAATTATGAATACATTTATTGTTAATATTAAAACTTTGTTTAGACCATTAGCCTTATACGTATTGTTAGGTAGGCTCAATTAATTTTTGATTGCAGGTAATTCAACAGAAAAAATCAGTAAGTTAGAAAATGACTTTGAAACTTGGTGTTGTTAAAGCCTAACTTAGGCCTAATAAGAAAGATGAATGAATGAACTAGAAAAACAAGCTACTTAGCTCAAATCAATTCATTTAAATAGAAAGAATTGCTCAAAAATTTCTTTTTTACATTCATAACATGGGCTTAAAATGGGCTTAAATAGGGTATTACAATGTTTTACAAATAAACCCTTAGACTTCTTCAATGTTCTCTTTTTAGCAATAGGACCCTAAACAAGATCCAATCCCTCTCAAGATGGGCAAAAGATATCCACTAAGCCCATCTTGTCACATAACCTAGATGAATCCAAAGAACTAAGTCCTTTAGTCATTTGCTTGCTCTGCAGTGGCTACATGACTTAGCTCCAATAGCCCGTTACTCAGCTTTTCCTTGATGAAGAACCTATCAATCTCCACTTGTTTGGTTTTATCATGTTGCATCAGGTTGTTGGCAATGTTGATTGTCGACTTGTTGTCACACCACAATTTCTTTTGAGTTTCTTGGTCGACCTTGAGCTAGACCAACAAAGCTCTTAGCCATAACATCTCGCAACTCCTAAGGCCATGGTTTTGTGCTTTGTTTTTGTTGTTGACCTCCCTACTACAGACTGTTTATTGCTCTTCCAAGCGATCAAGTGTTCACATACGAATATGCAATATTCTTGAGGTGGATTTTTTGTCATCTGCACAACTCGTCCAGTCAATGTTACAAAATCTCTCAATGTTGATATGCACATTCTTCTTGAAGATCAATCCCTTCCCTGGTGCACTCTTTAGGCTTCTCAGAATCAGATACACTACATCCATATGCCCATCCCTTGGACAATGCATGTAGCGGCTCACAATGTTCATTGCAAAAGAGACGTCGGGTCGAGTGTGACAAATAGATCAGACAACCCACCAATTTTTGATCATTGACTCTTTTGCCTCTGCATTCAGTTTGGTCTTTTGTTCAATTGGAGAGACCGTAGGTTTGCACCTCAGCATGAGTGTTTTTGTGATATCTAGTATTAACTTTCTTTGGGACAAGACCATCCTCTTAGGTCCACTGGCCGCTTCAATCCCACGAAAGTATCTGAGCTGTCTAAGATCATTCACCTTCCATTCATTGTGAATCTTACCTTTAATTGAGCAATCCCTGTCTCATCATCACCGGTGACAATAATGTCATCAACATACGCAACAATTATAGTGGTGTGACCTTCATGTCATCGAAATAACGTTGTATGGTTTGCATTTATCTGCTGATATCTTATGCCCCCACCATAGTCTTTCTAAACTTGTCAAACCAAACTCGAAGAGACTTCTTCAATTCATACAACAATGATTTTATGAGCCTACACATCTTGCCCACTTTCTGGAATGTAACAAATCCAGATGGTATCTCAAAATATACCTCCTCTAATAACTCACCATGAAAAAAATGCTTTCTTCACATCGAGTTGGTGTAACCTACGCCCACCATTCACTGCAAGAGAAATCAGTGTTCTCACTGTGCTCAGCTTTGCTATGGGTATAAATGTTTCATCATAGTTAATTTCATACGTGTGACCGTAGGCTTTCGCCACCATTCGTGTTTTTTACCACTCCACCTCTCTTCTGGAGTTTGCTTCACTGTGAAGATCCACTTGCACCCAACTGTCTTTTTCTCTGCCGGTAGTGACATTATCTTCCATGTGAGGTTTTTATCGAGAGCCCTAAGCTCTTTATGTATAGCCGCTTTTCACTTGGATATCTCCTTAGCAATCTGCCAACAATTGGGTGTAGAGATATTGTCCAAAGATGCAATAAATACTCCATGTAAATGTGATATCTTAGAAAATGAAACAAAGTTAGCAATGTCAAATTCTCACTCAAAAAAATTAGAAGAATGCCTTGCATTGTTGTGAGAGATCCATAAAGTTGGTGGGCGAGGAGAAAAAGAGGAGAAATCATATCACCTGAAGTTCTGAGTTGGAGGTGAATGGTGTTGGTGTCTCGAGAGTCTAGGCAGATCGGGACAAGAGACTAGTTGACACAAGTGGCACTGCAACCACCGTTCCCTCATTTTGCTTCCTTCTTCGTGCATACACCCTTACTCACTTTTAACCTGAATCTCACCACGTCTGTGTTCACTCTCATTTTTTGGTTCCTGAACTGATTCTTCCCACATCACAAAAGAAGGCATTGCTCCTACATGTACCACTCTATCACCATTGGTACTCACCCCGCCCTGCCTCATATCTCCAGTATCTTGAGAGGCATCAAAGGGTAAGGTCACCTCCTGGCTGTAGTTCGGTTCAAATTCTTTAAATGACACATCAATGCTTACAAATAGTATATTTTCTATCGGGCTCCAACAGACATACCCATTTTGGGTAGCGGAATAACTTACAAACACATATTTTGCAGCTTTGGGATCCAACTTTTCTACTGATAATTTGTTATCCTTCACAAAACATATACATTCAAACACCTTAATGGGAGGATCTCGCTTTTATCTTATTTCAACATCTAACAAAAAGACTTTCAATCCAACACCATCGATGACATCTTGTTCATCAATTGAGCAGTTGTAAAAAAATGCTTACCTCAAAAGTGCTTTGGCACATTCATTGAGATCATCATGCTTCAAGCAACCTATAGAAGACTTCTATTTTTCCTTTCTACTACTCTATTTTGTGTCGGTGTGTATGAACATGTGCTTTGATGTTGTATCCCTCGGGCTGACAAGTATTTCTCAAATGTTTTGTTGGTATATTTTGTCTCATTATCAAACCTCAATACATTCACAAATGTATCATATTGAGCTTGAATTGCATTGTGAAATTTTTAAAGCAAACAAGTACAACACCCTTATTTGACATTAGATATAATCAAATAACACAAAAAAACAATCAATAAATGTCACAAAATATCTATAACAATTTATAGAACTTGTAGAACAAAGTCCCCAAACATTAGAATGAATCAAGTCAAAAACATCAGAACTCCTATTCCTAAAATTGATATAAGATCTCCTAGTAAGCTTTTGCCAAACTCACAAGTGTCACAAACAAGCTTTTGTTTATTTATCTTTTCATCAAAGAAGAATACAACTATCCAAATAAATTAAAGCAAGAGTGTCTCATACATCTGTGATGTAGCTGCAACACATCCTCCACACTCCTCCCAAATTCTCCTATTTCATCACTCTCTACCATGGATGTCAAAGCTAAGTTCATTCTCTTTCGGTCCAAATTACTATAATCTACTTGGCCACGTTCCAGTCCCAAGTGTTCGACCTGTCCCTTTCTCTTGGAAGATCACCTTAGGAATATTAAAAGAAACAACACTTTAGTTGGATAATAATGACACTAATGAATAAAAAATTCACTAAAAAATGAGCATGTAAAATATTGGATAAAGTTATATATTTGTTGCTACTCACTGTATCCTTATCAACTACAGACTGTGTGATACCAATAGTGATCTGGATGTTCTCTAATACTATTAGGGATATATAGGAAGAAAACTCTCTAGCGGTACTTGTCAAATGTCGAGTGCATTACAATCTACTATTCATTCTGATGATCCCGTGATGAAAATAGAGGTAAGAGCGTGTGTATCACAAGTAGTTTTGTCAAAGTGAGCATAAGTGACAATGTTACTCTTTGATGACAACTTGTTGGAAGCATTCTCAACCCCATCTCTTGTTTCTTTCTAGTTCCTCTTCAATAATTCCAGTAACTCATGATTCTCATTGGTAAAAATCACATTTGCTTCTCCCTTCTATGCTACCATCAGATTTACCCGATAGCCCCTTTTTCTACTTTTTCTACTACCACGACTCCACTTTATCTTTGTGACCCGTCTCTCTTTCCTTATGTGGCCTAAGATAGGTCTTGCTCTCGACTTCACAATTGAAGCACTTGCGCGTCTCCTCTTGAACACCTATCATACCTGAGCTTGAGGCAGCAGATGCTGATCACGCACTTGGAATTCCACTCGACTTAGAGTGTAGCTTCATGTTACTATCCTCATGTATCATTGCAACAATAGCCTAATACAACGAAGGGATGGTCACTGGAGCTTGGAGGACTGATTTCTGATCAAAGGCTGGTCCTCACCTGTGTAAAGATATCCCCTTTCTTGCACTTCAAATCGCCATGACTCAATATTGGTGAGAAGTGATCAAGATCTGCCCACAACTGCTCCAAATCTATGTCATATTTTTGAATCAATCTATCACCCTGTACTACTGCTTCTATCTCACAGTGAATGTGGAGTACCCTAATG